TTGTTACTTTTTTGTCTCCTAAATGAAATAAAATAAAAACAAGAAAATACAACAATTAAAATTTCGTTGAGTAGATAAAGAACGAAGGCTTAACTCTGCAGTGACCCTGCTGCTGCTGCTGCTGCTGCGCCTGCTGCTGCTGCTGCTGCTGCTGCTGCAGCTGCTGCTGCTGCTGCAGCTTTTGGTACACGGAAAGAACGGTGTTGAAACAGATAGAAAAGGAAAATAGAAAAAATATAAACCCGAGTATAACAATGGAAGCAGCAGGCGACACGCAGTGCAGCAGCAGCAGCAGCAGGAGCAGCAGCAGCAGCAGCAGCTGCTGCTGCTGCTGCTGCTGCTGCTGCTGCATGCACGGCCAACGACGTTGTCTCTCTTCTGTTGTCTCCGACTTTTGGTATTTTTTTTAAATTAAAAAAAAAGTTTTTAGCTGCAAATGAAAAAGGTAGAGCTAGTGTAGCAGCAGCAACAAGGGCAACAGCAGCAGCAACAGCAGCAGCAGCAGCAGCTGCTGCTGCTGCTGCTGCTGCAGTTCTCCAATGGACCGGTGGTCTGTCCACTGGTATCCCCGCTGCTAAGGTATCAAGGTACCGGGGTCTTTGATGCGCATTGGTATAGCTCTAGGGTTTAGGGTTTAGGGTTTAGGGTTTTAGGGTTTAGGGTTTAGGGTTTAGGGTTTTAGGGTTTAGGGTTTAGGATCCATCGGAGTTATTTGTTAGAGTTTCTTCTTTGTTGATTCGCCTGAAACTAGGGTTTAGGGTTTAGGGTTTAGGGTTTGTGTGTATGCGCATGCATGTTGAGCTGCCTATACACCCCACGCTGTCTCTGCAGCAGCAGCACTCTTGCTGCTGCTGTCTTTCTCCCTCGCGGCAACAGCAACAACAATAAAAATAATAAAACTTTTTGTAATAAAAAAATAAAAAAAAAAAAATAAATATAAGTATAATAAAAAATAAAAAAAAACAAAAGATAATAATTATAATAAAAATAAATAAAAAAATAAAAAATAAATAAAAATTAAAATAAAAAGAAAAATATAAAAAAGTCCATCCGCAGTAACAGTTTGTCTCCATCAAACATTCACACCTGCTGCAGCAGCAGCACCTGCAGCAGCAGCAGCAGCTGCTGCTGCTGCTGCTGCTGCAGTAGCAACGGCAGGAGCAGCAGCAGCTGCTGCTGCTGCTGTAGCAACGGCAGGAGCAGCAGCAGCTGCTGCTGCTGCTGTAGCAACGACAGAAGCAGCAGCTGCTGCTGCTGCTGCAGTAGCAGCTGCTGCTACTGCTCTTGCTGCTGCTGGCTAGAGCAGCAGACAGCCAAGATAAACTGCAGCACAGAGCAACAGTTCCTGCTTTTCTGCTGCTGCTGCTGCTGCTGCTGCTGCAGCACCATGAACAGCAGCAGCAGCACCATGAACAGCAGCAGCAGCACCGACGCAGCAGCAGCAGCAGGAACTCATATACTGTTGCTGCTGCTTTCGCAGCAGCAGCAGCAAGATCTGCTGCTTGCTGCGGTTGCTGCAGTCTGCGCCGTTGCTCTTGCGGCTGCTGCTGCGATTGCTCCTGCAGCAGCAGCAGCAGCAGCAACAGCAGCAGCAGCAGTAGTGAATGCAGTCGCAGCAGAGACAGGTGCTAGAACAGCAGAAGCAGCAGCAGC